GTTGCACAGAAGCCGCGGGCGTTTTTACGACCTGTCCCCAGTGGCACAAAGGCCGCATGAGCCAGACGCGCCGACAAAGCCGAGGTTCCTGGTGCGCGGGGTCGGGCGACTTCCCGGGACAAAGGCCGGGCTTAGGTGGGACTGCGCGCGGCCTGGCGCTCCTGGCTGGCAGGGCTGGCGAAGGCGAACTGCGCCTCAGCTGTCCCGAGCCCTGAGCCAGCCCTGCCCCCCGGGGCCTGTAATATATTATTGCAGCCCCTTAAAAATTCCTGACGTCGGTTTATCGCCTTCCTTTCATTGTCTGCCTGTCAGTCCATCACACCCAGACCCGAGACCAAGCCAACACCCCGGACGGGCTGAGCCGGGGAGTTTTCAGGAGACGGGAGGGAAAAGTCTGCCTCTCAAGAAGCGCCGTCCTCTCCAAAGCCCTGTCACTCGGCTCAGCCGCAAGAAGGAAACACCGAGGTTTGTTGTATTTTGTTCCAGCGGCAGCATCGAAGTCCCTCTGCCTTTTTCCGAGCAGCCAGTTGCCGCCCCACTCAAACCTGCCCGGGGCCCTGGGTCCCGCGCCCGCCCGGCCGGCCTGGGCTGCGGCCCTTCTCTGGTTTCAGATCCCGGGGCTCCGCTGGCTGCTGCCACAGCTGCGTTTACTAGTGCCAATAAATGTCGGCTCTGGACGCTTTTAAAATAACCGTGCCAAGCAGACCTGATCGGAAGTCAGTCCTCGCTGCAGCGGCCCAGGCTCTCTTTCTCGACAAGGACTCTATTGAGCGCGGCAAACAACACCCAAACCAGGCCCTGGGCGCGGTGACAGCCCTGACTGTCTCCCTCCCCTGTCACCCTCCAGAGGCGCGCCTTGGAGCCCGGGGGATGCAGGACACGCGGGTGGCCACGGCCTCGACAAAAGGCAGAGAAACCGCCCGGGAAGCGTTGGATTCAGCACGGGCCACGTTCATTTCCACTGGGCCTTTCATGAAAATGAACATCGTTTCCATCCCAACAACGTTCTTTAAGACAAAGAAACATTTCAAATTGATCGCAGCCAGTTTGGATGCTTTCTCCTTACGGTTCTTTAAGTGTTATTTTTTTACAATAGCAAATCCATTCACAAGGATACATAGTATCTTCTAATAAGCATGCCTAAGTCCCCCAGTGTTGATTTCTACTTAATCTTAGAATCCTTAAATGCAAATCGATGAGAAACCGCGTGCACGCTGCCCTGGGCGGGAGGGACGGGACGCAGACTCGGGGCCAGCACAGGACACAGGCTGCTGGTGGCGCCCGCCCCTCCCGGGAACAAATGGTTTTCTCAAAGAAATCCTGAAAAGGCTCAGGCGAACCGGACGACTCTTCTCCCTCGTTTTGACCAGTTTGGGAAACTTTAAAGAGGCCTTTGAATAACTCAGTTGAAATTGCCTGCCGCTTATCTTTAAACAGATCAACCTCTCAGGGCCCTGGATTTGGGAATTAGACGGCGAATTCACGGAGGCTTCGGTGTGGTGCCCGGGGGCTTTTCCGCAGAAGCCGGGCGGCCAGGGGAATCCGAACTCCTCTGAGGAAACTGCCGAGAGCAAGTTCATCCAGGGCCCGCCCGCCTCTCCCGGCCTTCGGAGCCTGACGTTGGTCTGGGGGTTATGNCTGGGTTTTTTTTTTTTTTTTTTTTTTTTTGTCTCTTGGGGACTGAAGAGGCTCGGTGGGTGCCCGGGCTGCCTCATTGCTTCAAGGACTTTGGAAGTGTCACTGTGTGTCCTCACTGTTTGCTGGCCCCGCACCCTGGGCCACCTCTCTGGGAAAGGCTGTGGACCCCGGGGCCCTGCGGCTGGCCCGGGGCTGAGCAGTGCAGGTTAGAAAACAGCCCCGGCGATGCTCCAGGACCCGCCGGGGCGGCGCGGGGAGGCCCCTCTCTCTCCGCCCTTGTCTGGGCCTCGGCTGTCAGAGCTTCCTCTGCCCGGTCTGCTGGCCGGCTTTTCAGGGCCCAGAGGGGACAGCAGCTCCGGGTTCTGCTCCATCCGCAGGCTCCAGGGGCCTCAGACAATTCTTTCTTCTGGCCAAGGGCAGAGCAGGCTTGTTATCTGGGCTAAAGCCGTTTGCGCCTAAATCTTCACATTCGACCGTAGATATTCTGCCCCCCCCCCCAGCGGCTCAAACATTAAAAAATCTCTACACGTATCTCTTAGGTGTACAGTTCGCACCTGGGCATTATTTCTCTCTCTCCATAAATTTTCGGCCCCAGTTAAATTGTCTTCCTGATTCTGAAACGGCTTCTTGCTATAAAATACTCCGTTGATTACGAGGAACAGACTATGCGCCGACCGGCGCTCCCAGCCGGCGGGGGCCGCGACAGGGCTGCTGGCTGAATTTCTATCTCGGTTCTTGCCACGAAGAGGGTCCGCTTGCTCTGAGGACGGCGCCGTAGAATCGAACAGCTTCCCGACAACTCGGACATGTGTTTTCAGTCTTTTGTAAACTGGCCAGGAAATGCTAAAACGAATCCCCTGCCCTTCTCACTAAGAGACAAGCGTGTCTCTTCGGAAGCTGCCAATTCACCGGCAGTTTTTACTTTATAAAACCGCGGGGAACAAATGCAGAGGTGGAGGGGACCATCTGGGTGACGGGGTGGAGCAGGGTGGTGGATGTCAGAGGCCCGTCCTTTAAAATCCCAGCCTGGCAGACAGAGGGGTCCACGTGGGGCGACAGAAATGAAAGCGAAAGAGAAGCGCCCGGCACCAGCGGGCGGCGAGCGGCCGGGAAGCAGCGGGTTCGCGTTAGGAACAGCGCTGGCTCGGGCGCGGCCGCGTGTTATCAGTCGGCTAATCTGCTAATGAAATGCTTTTGTTCCACACGAGAAAGGGGCTCAGCCCCGTCTGCTTTCACTTTGGGGAGGCCGCCCCCTGCTCAGCCGGAGCCCCCCACTTGGCCCCGGAATGTGCTGCTGATGTGGGTTTTCCTGCCGCCCGGCCAGCCCTGGGGAGGGGGCGGCGGGGGCCTCACCGGGGGTTTGGAGCCCCGAGCCCTGCTTCCCAACACATGTGTGGCCCCGGCTCCACGTCCTCAGCCCCACCGCCACTTGCCACCTGGCCACCAACCTCCCTGCCCCGTGGAGGCGACGTGGGAGCCGCCTCCCGCCTGCCTGCCCCTGTGGGCACCCTGTTGACAAGCCCTTGTTTTCTCTCAACATTAGAACGGAGCCGGGAACAGAGCCCGCCTGTCTCTCCCGAAACGTTTCAAGCCAACTCGTTTGCTCCTAATTGTGGGAGCATGAGCCAC